GCAATAGTTTATTGATTATTGATTGGATTTGTAGTTAGTCTGATCGAAGCTAAAAGTATTATAAACAGTGAATAATTCGAAGAATTCGTGATTGTAACTCAAGAACCCGGAAACAGTTCACTTGCAAACTTGTCGATATTTGAGGTACGATTGAGATGCTTTGCTGAAGATAATTTTGATCTGATAATGGCACCGTACAATACGATTTTGGAAACGAATTTTTCCCAAAACAAGGATTTACTAGAGATAAACGTTTTTTTCGAGTGCTTAAGGAAATTGTTAAAAAGTTTGAAGACCCCAGTGCACCAGTTGTACACAATGCGGACTCACCTTATTCCTGATTGGTTAGTGCGTTACCCTAAACTGGCCATATATAAACTCAGTTTAACTCTCTTGAGAGACTTCTCTAGGTAATTTAATCGCTGATAGTTGATACCTTTTCAACGATCACAATAAAATTTTCAAGGTCAAATAATTGAACTGGTCAGTTTTTTGCTTTTTCAAATGCTGAAACTTAGCAGTCCAATTATTTGACCTTGAAATCATTCAGTAGCCTTAGTTTTACCTCTAATATCGTTATGAGCAATTTTCGACAAATGAACTTAAATGAGCTTGACCTTGAAATATAGCAATAAGTATCGCCGAAATTCGCTTATTAAAAATCTGAGCCTCAAGGTCATTCAGGGCTGCACAATAGCGTTCAACATCGGTAGAGATAGCTGAATAGCCCGCTAGTTTTGATTACAATTCATCAGACAACAAATCAAAGGAAATTAAAGCGATGTATTCTTTCGAACTTGAAAAAGATGGTGATTGTATGTTATTTATATCCAATCGATACAATGCATATACAATATATATTCAATCTGGTGCACAAGTGTTTCACTTACTTTTTCACTAATAGATCTAAAAAGATTGCAGACACAAATATTCATTGATTTACAACAGCTGAATAGTTTATTATACTTATAATAAACGATAACGATGACAATAACAATAATCTTAATAACAAGAAAATTTAAAAAGTTGAAAAAATTAGATATTATTCAAAGAAGAGGTCAAAGAAGAAGAACAGAATTAGAATTGGAATTTAAAGATTAGTATTTTGGCAAACTGTCTAGATGAGACTTGGCTACTTCTAATACTGATCAGTGTTAATTTTATTGGCCAAATGGCCTGTTATTTTCGATCAATCACTATTGACATGTTTCACTGCGAATTCGTTTGGTTCAAGCGCTCTAAATAATTTGAATACTGCACGTTATGGGACATGGTCTGAACGATCAGCTTTATGCGGCGGGATTGCGATTTCAATTTCATAACAATAATCAAAATTTGTACTTGTACAAAGGTAATCGATTTCAAATCCCTTACACCCCTATCTTTCCATTCACAGGTCCGCAAACCAGACTATAGTAACAAATAACATAATTGCTTTGGTTTTTCTGCTTCAAATTTTCTAGAGGGATCGATACCGCTAACATAATAAAATCAATTCAAATTCAAATTAAGATCACCAGCCAAAACCAAACCATCAATTGCTGGCATGATTCTGTTTCGGCTGTCATATCCTCCTAACTGGAGCCTAAAACAACAGCAAATAAATTGACCATATATTGTTGAACACCAGATAGACCTGAGCAGATCTGGTGGCAATTAATTATTACAAGTCGTTTACTATCCTGTTCGACAACAGCAGCTATAAAATCAGATCTTTCTATGGCAAAGGTTTGAATAAATCCAGGAAAATCTTTACTGCTGAAGCAGGTAACAATGTTATAAACTTGTGAATACTTCCAGGCAGCTCTTTTTTTGGCGACGTTTCAGCTTTCTTGCCCATTGTCATCGCATACTTTTGATTAAATTCATTCATAACACTGACTGGGGCTCCTGAAAACACAAAACACAACGAATATCAGAATACGTAGTTCAAAGTATCCCATATAAGTGCGTTTTTTGTGAAGATTATGCGTAGAGAAACAAAATTCTGTCATTTTACAAAACTTTATTGAAAGAAAGAAAGAAACTGACAACGAGAAATTTGAAATCTACATGAAATAGAATTTTGCACTTTAAGAAGTTCCGCGCTGTCATCGTAACACGCAAGCTAATTTAAGCCTTTATCAGCTTTTGTTTGCTTTCAATAATTCAATCTTCTTAGTAATCTTCTATCTATCTATTTTTCTTTCTCATTTGCATATATTGTGTTTTATTAACATTTTCATCACACAAAGAAAGAATCTCGTTATGACTGGAAAAGTGGATCTACACCCGAAGTCGAAAGAAAGCTGCCTAAAAATGTAAATGCCAAACTCATCCTTATGCTGTGGTAAGTAAACAACTATGTCAAAAATCATGTTTCAATTTTATAGTTTTGTTTCTCATTTTAGGCACTCAAAAGAATTGATAAAATGTTGCGACGGCGACCAGAATTTTACAAACATTATGAGAGAAGAATCCATTCTTATTAAGATAAAATTTATGATCACGGTGGCTTACCAAAATGTCTAGATGATTGCTTCTATTTGAATTTTCAACTTTATAATTGTTCATTTCAATCAATTTGAATTATATCCAATTGATCAAAGTATCAATAGTATCAATTGTAAACAATAAAGTCTATACGCTTACTAAAATTTAATGATTTATTTATTGGTGGATACACATATTTTAATGAGATATTTTGTGGACACCGCATGAAGATCGAATTCTTTCAACAAAGCATCAAAGCTTTTATCATCTTGGATTGAATTACGATTCGTAATTGACTTCTAACGTTTGATTCAATTTTCTTATTGGCTCAGTGGCTAGGCAAATTAATGCTGACTGACTAATCTCAGCAACAGTAACGCTAATCTTATCACATTCCCATGTATACCCTATCTGGTTGGGACTTGGTACAACCTCGAGTTGACTCGCTACCTCAGGATAATCTCAGGACACAGAACATACTGAGGTGTAAGGCCGTGAGAACTGGCAAATAAATTGATTGCCAATTTTGATCTAGCCAATTGCATTACAAATTTTTCTGTTTCTGAACGTCACTTAGTGGCTTAGGCAGATTAAAGCTGACTGCATAATACCAGCAACAGTTATTACTCACCTCATCTCCAAAATTCTGACAAAAAATCAATCATGTTTCAACTTCTCGAGATCACCCCGAGAAAAATCATAAGTCTCCACAGACTCGAATCAATCGTGAGTGACTCCCTTGAAAAAAATGACCACAAATGTCATTATGAAAATTGTGTGTGCGACAGAGAATTTGAATCCACTCACGATGATGTACTTGGCGGCTATGTACTGTGGAACAATGTGCTGATTGTTTGCCGTGCCTGTGTCAAAGTTTTATGTAGCGCCTACTTTGAAAATTTTTTGATTGCAGGGCGTTTTTTGGTAAATCGTCAAGCTCGAAAAAGTATTATATTCTGATCTTTTTATTATTTAATCAGAAAAAATTAAAATTCCAAAAATCTTCTTAATGCTTGATGGTTGCTGAGGCCTCGAGCTCATCTTCCAGTTGTGGCTCTCATTTTCTTTGTTTCCTATGTAATAATTCCTGTGTAACTTTAACAAAGTTAGTTAAGAAATTTGTTAATAACGGTTTTATTAGGATGGCAGTGAATTATTGTCAACAGATATTGAAAATTTTTTATTAATTCAGCTGAGGTAGAAACTGGAAATTATTGTAACTGCTCGGAAAAAGATCTGACGAGGACTAAAAACAAAATTAGCAAATTAAAAGTAAATCGCTCGCTCAGACTACCCCGACTTCCGGCTGATCCTTTAAGGCTGTAAAATAATGAACTGTATCACATTACCAAAGCTTTACACAAGTTATTAATAAAAAAATTGAGAATAGATAATATTCTGAGAGCAATGTATTTCATGATGATAGTTTATAAGCAAAAAACTTTTTTATCATGAAGGTAGCAACAAAAAAGATGAAATTTTCATTGAAAAAAGGAGTGAATGCATGATAAAAATGTATATAAAATCTCATAGGAACAAGACTCTAAATTGGATTGAAGGTTAAGTGTAGCAAACAGATTATTATTATTCTTGTTTGCTTGGTTGACTTTAACTAATACTTTCAGACAAAATCAATCCTTTTTTATCCTTTTTTATAAATCAAGTCACAGTCAAACATTTGAGTGTGTAACTTGGAGGAACCATTGTAATCTAATTGTTGTGAGGTTTACTTCTTGGGTAATATTTTGAATAACCATTTGAGTCTTGTTCATACATTCTTGTTATACAGTCACCATTGAGATAATGCACCATCGAGATAATGCACTCATTTTTTCAATGGTCCCTATTGAGGAGGAGTTATATCGTCTTTTGAATTTCGTCAAATTTTGATTCGATTTCTTTAATTATCAATTGATTTAATTATTCAATTTAGGTTAAATGTACATCGAGCTGTGAAACAAGTCCGCTAGATGGCAATATATTGGTTGTAATATACATTCATTTATTGGTTGCATAGTCGATTGTTACAATCATTTTGTCATTTGGTTAATTTGGGTTATGATTGGGTTTAGATTTTCAGTGCATACTATAACTTTGGGATTGAACTTCGAATAGAGATTGTTTAGGAAAAACGGCACGCATTAAAAACTAGCGTTT